GTGTTGACTTTGACAGAGTCAAAATTGAATTAATTGATATGTAATTAAAATTAGTCTCATATTCAATCAATATTATTAAATATAAATATTTATTTCAATAAATCATTTTACAAAAGTTCACATCTTTGACTTTTTCTCATTTTTATACAAATTACATATTTAAAATGTCATAACTGAACCTCTGTACATCAGATTTATTCATAAAATATACCGTTGGATTCATCTCTTCGAGACCTATCCATAAAAGTTAATCTTAACAAAAATCATTAACTCCAAAAATTCCTTCATTTTTGGTCAAACATAGAAATAATGCTTTGTTGAGTGAAAATATGGTTTCTAAAAATACTTTTATAATAGAATAACTTTTAGACCATGTTTTGGGGCGTTAGAGAATGTCTCCCTTCTTGCTGCTGCTTGGCCAAACCACCCAAAGGAAAAGGGAGAGGAAGAGTTGAGGGTGTTAGATGCTTGTGTGGGAGTTACAAGTGATGAGGGAGATGGATGGAGAGAGGGGGTTTAAATTGAAGGGAATGAATGGAGAATTAAGGTGGAGGATTGAATGAGGATTTAATGCAAAATGATGGGTGAGTGGCGTGTGGTTGGATTTGGGAGTTACCTCCCCAAATCCCATTTCGTTGTGTAAAGTCTGACCTGAACGGTACGCGCTTTTTGCCTGAACAGGTCCGAATTGAGATCCGTTTGTGTTTCCGGAATCAGACAATCAAAACGAATTTGATGACATGTTCAAATAATTTTTCAAAGAACTTTTATTTTCCCCAACTCGGGTCCGGAGCTGTAATTAATTATTTAAATTAATCAGTTCTAATAGACCGGGTTGCAGGGTGTTACAGTTTTAAGTTTCTAAAACCCCTTGTTCTTGCCCAACCAAAACCATAACCATCGGTTATCGGCATTCGGGTTTCGGCATGGGTTATTGGCATTGATTTTTTAGCCAAATGGTTCTTGGGTTTTTATCATTGGTTTTTTCTTCTAAACACATTTAAAGGTTTTCAAAATGATTAGTTTTCAAAAACCATAACCTTTGTTTTCCGGTGTTGGTTATCGGCGTTGGTTTTTGGTGTCCAAATCAATCAAGTGGTTTTTAAGTTTTTATGATTGGTTTTTACTTCTGGGCATATCCAAATAGTTATCCAACAAAAACATGTTAAAAACCACCTTTTGTTTTTGGTGTTTTGGTAAAAACCATGTGAACGGCATAAACTTGGCTAGCCGTGATTTTTACCTTAATGAAGTGGTTTTTAAGTTTTTATACTTGGTTTCTACATAAAATAAATTATATAAGAGTTTCCAACACTTTGTTTTCATTTCGGAAAACTTTGGTTTTTGATATCGGTTTTCGGCGTTGGCTGCCAAACCATGGTTCTGGCAAACCATCCCAACATGCATGTCAGAAATCCCTATAGCGATGTTGGCATTCGGAAGTCTTAGGTAGTAGGTTTTTGAACAATGATGTTCATTGTTGAACAGTGATGTTTTCAAATGACCGTTGGGCTATTTAAGACAAAATCTTTCCATTTTTTAAAGTCAAACACCACAACATCGATGTAGACTTCTAGACATCGATGTTTTGATGACCGTTAGCCATTTTTAAAGTAAAGTTAAAGCCAAAACAGCGATGTTCACTATATGAACAACGTTGTCACGCCAGAGTTCAGTAGATCCACTTTTATTTGATTTCCACAAATCAAGCCAATCAACCCCGATCTTCTCCCAACCGTTGCACCTCGTTTTTGGGTATAAAAAGGGGTCTCTTGGGTCTACTTTGCACAACCATTCCTCACACATTTCATAGTTTTACATTGCATCATTCCATAAACTTTTTACATAGTTTTTTAGAGCCATTTCTTAAGGAATTGAGTGTGCTCTTGATCTAAATTAGTTTACTCATATTCTACTCTGTAAGAGAGCTTTTGTTATTGAGTGGTTAAGTACACTTTAAGGGAGGTTTGTTCCCTTGGTTGTACGAAGGAAGGGCATATTCCTTTGGGTTCAAGTCTTAGAGTGCGGTATCTCCGAGTAAGTATATAGAGGCTCGTGGGACTCGAGTTCTCATGTTGTAACGGTTTGTTAAACACCCGTAAGCTTAATAGAAGTAGTGTAGCTGGAGAGTCTCTCGGGAGACTGGACTAGCCACACATTGTGGTGAACGAGTATAAATCTTGGTGTGCTTCCTTACGTTTTTTATTCCGCTCTTTACTTTATCCCTGCGATTTTTATTCCGCGAAAATTTATAAACATTCTCGTGCCTCACTATTCACTCCCCCCCTCTAGTGAAGGGCACTTATTCTAACACATCTCGCTCATCTCTCTACCGATGCCAGGCTGAAGAAATTCAATTCTTCCTTTGAATTTTCTCAGAATGATCGCAATGGAATTATGGTTTATAGAGCACATTCGGAGGTTTCTCCAGATTTAAATGTCAAAAGGTATTTTTATAATTTATTATTAAATTTTTTTGTCAAAGATCGGATGGAATAAGATGAAGAAATCTTATTCATTTATCACATGCATGCCTATTTTTCTAAAAGATTTGTTGGAATCATTTTTTTGAATATGAAACCAAAAGATCTACCTTTTTTATACAGATTTGTTGTATTCTGTTACGCACAACTTGTTTTTTTAAAAGTTTTTAATTTGCAGTTAGAGAAAACGATTTTTGTTTGTATAAAATTATATCTCCTGAAAAATTGTCTTCTTTTTGATTTATTAAAATTACATATCCCAACTTCTAAAATCGTTAGCAATTTTTGTACGTGTAAAATTATACATCCAAACTTCTTTTGGGTAAATGTTTTTTTATAAACATAGCAGATTTTTGTTCCGAATTTAAGAAACTTGGTTTGCTTCTCTTCCTTAAAAAAATATACTCCAGAATCTCAATGAAAAAATATAACATCTTCCTTTTTCATTATAATTGAATTTTCGAGAATTATACTTGAATATAATATGTGCTAATTTGAAGATGTTTCAAAAGAATAAAATATAAGATTTTCAATAAGTCTTAAAGAATCTTTGTAGCCAATAAAATTTACTCTTTTAATTCAAAACCTTTTGACATCAGAGATGTATGCTCTTATAACAATATCATTGAACCTAATTGATATGTGTTATGCTTGTTTGTGTATAACACAGAATGGTTCAATGAGACAACTCCTTTTTTCGAAATGGTATTGAAGATTAACTGTCAAATATTAGAGGGAACAGAGGTAAGAACATATATTCTCTTGACATTTTCCAAAAGGAAAACAAATTTAAGAATACATAATCTCTGAAATTGTATGTTATCTTATATAACATAGATTGTTTAATGTAGGATTTATTAAAAGAAGACATGTTCCTAGTCCTAAAAAATCTGGAAGGTAATACATTATTGAATATAATCTTAAACATTGTTTGTTATCCTTATATTAGAATATAGTTGTATACTTTTTAAAATCTTTTTTCACTCATTGTAGGTGATTAGATTTTGAACAAAGGGGATGGGTAAATGTATGGTATTCATTCTTCAGAAATAGTCTTAAACATTTATCCCAGTCATTAAGAGGTGTTTGCATATTTAAAAAAGAGATAAATCATATGGCTTGCATACGTTTTTGAAGACTAACATATTTCATTAAATATTCACAATAGCATAATAAAATATCACAAAAAATGTATGTTTTTTGAAAATCTCTTAATTTTATATTTCATTTTGAAGAAAGTAGAAGCTAATTATAGGATGATTGTTATACAGAAGTATATACCTTTGTTTGATTCATTTTCCAGAGTCCTCTTAATTATGAATTTTCCTGTTTTATTCAGCTTCCTCATTTTGTCAATTCCCTGAATTTGTGCTCATATTAGGACGCATCCAAATAGTAAAATGATAAGTCAGGATTTCATAAAATCTTTTCTTTATTTGTTCTGTAATAATAATGTATTCTAGATGTCCACCATTTACTATATTCTAAAAATATATTTTTCCAAGATAATGTAGTTAAGGAAATATTATGATTTAGTCATGTGATAACATAAGAACCGAAATGAAATATTCCTTGGTTTAGTTCATGGTAGAATACTGCAAAAAATTGTCATAAACAATGTCATTAAAAATTTAAAGATTACCTCTTTGAAAGTAGCTTTGAAGTCTTTAAAGGAGGTATTGAATGGAGAGGGTTAGAGTGGATGGATTTGGTAGTTGGTAGAGAGTAAAGAAGTGTTAATGCAAGAGAGAAGTTCATATGATATTTAAGGTGATCATTTATTACCACAATAAGTAGGGAATTTCGTACATAGGTTGTTGCTGCATTAAACACTTAACCACTTAGCATTAAATGTCTTCCATAGCAACTTGTATATGTTAGCTATGTAATAATTACTATGGAGCTTCGCACAGCTGCATAGTGAATGCATTAAATGCATTGTGTCATTGAGTTTCCAAATGTATACCACCCTTACATTACCACCTACTTTGAGATGTAATAAAAATTATAAATAATAATGAGTTATAATGTAGGGGTGGTTTACCATTGGGATACACGAAAGTATACCTTCTGCAATCGAATTTTTTTAAATCAAATATTCTTTCAAGTTTTATTGAAATGTTGTATTTTTTATTAATACTTTAATAAGAAGTTCTTCAGAATCCATATTAAAGTAAAAAGTAAAAACAAATTGTTTTACGTATTTTAATTTTTTAAAACATCTTAAATTTTTCGATTAAATTATAAGGTAATAATAAATATTTATTAATTTCAAAATCTATGGGATGGCCAGTTATACTTACACTAATTTTAATTTTCAAGTAAAAATGAATTTCTAAACTTTTTTTAAAGTTTTTATTTTAAATATTAATTTCGAAATCTATGAACTCTTTCCTTGATATAAGCACAATGAAGTCATGGGTGGTGCATTTAATGCAACACATATTGAAGTAAAGCATTACTTAATGGTTTTATGACTTGTTTTTCACTTCGTTTGTCGACATGAAAGGCACAATTGGTATACTTTTTCGTGGCTCAATGTAATAAACCATTAATATGCCAGCATTGATTTAGAGTTCACAGTGTTGTCTTTTCAGTTGGCATAATTAGTTACATTTTTCGTGGCTCAATGTAATCAATTACTTGCATATATCAAAATCTTTTGCTAGTCAATTCATCCTATCTTAAATAATATTTTAAAGGGTGATTAAATGTTCTTTTCGGTTGGCATCTCAATATAGGGCCATAATTGTGGTACTTTTTCGTGGCTCTAGGCATAAAATCTATTACACGTTTAACATTAGTTTTTGAAAAATATTTTATATTATTTCAAATACTTAATTTTTAATTTAACAAATTTTACCAACATGGAAATTTAAAAAAAAAAATCGAATACAGAAAGAAAATAATTTTTTTAGACAGAAACGTGCATATTTTCGATACAAAGTTAAATTAAAGGCACTATGGTTCATAGAGTTGTCTTTTCGGTTAACATAATTTCTTACCTTTTACGTGGCTCAATGTAATCAATTACTTGCACAATTCATTGCACATATTTTATTACCTTTTAGTGTCTCTAGGCATTAAAATACTTGTAAGATTTATCAAAAGATTTTCTCGTGGCATTAGGAGTTCATATGGCTAGACAATAAAGTACTTATTTTTAATAGGAAGTAATTATTTAAGAGTATTATGAGTTGTCTTTTATCAATATAGAAGCCTTTTTAGTGAATCTAGGCAATAAAATAGTTGTATGATTTATCAAAAGATTTTCACGTGGCTCTAGGAGTTCATAATTATTCTACTTTTATAATACTTATTTTTAAATTCAATCAAGTTGAGAACCATTCTTATTTTAAAAAAATCGTTAACTCCATTTTCAACGCTTAATTGTACATATTATTTAATATATATCTCGAATTGGTTTTTTAGATTATTAATTATTTTAATATTTTCAAGCCTAACTCGAAAAAAAGATTAAATAATTTTAATATGAGTTGAAGTGTGAATTATCGCATAAACTGTAAAAGAACAACATTCCTCTAAAAATAAGTTGTGCACTTATACAATCGAAGAACTTGTTAATCCAATAAGTCATTTGAATAAAAACCCAGTTTTGGCCGAAAATCACTTTCTTGTGTTGTAGTTTTTTTCACTTCATATTATTTAAAAAAATTGTTTTAGTTATTTCTCAATCCTCTACGTAGCCATATAATAAACTTGAATGGATGATTTTCAAAACATAATCACAAACACACCATAGTAAATATTGCAAAAAATAGCCAGAAATAAACTCTCATTGTTTCACAAAAACAACGGGAAAATAGTTTTGTTACATGCCATGGATCAAAAAGTGTTTCGTGGACATGGTCGGAAGATAGGACAAAAAGATCCAATAGGAGCAGACAACCTTATTTATTTCCACCGAAAACAATTGGCATCTTGAACAAACTTCAATCTACTTTTCAACCTTGATTTCTTTGAGTCTCTTGTCATGTTTGTCACTTGGATTGTCTTCAAAAAGTTTTTTCTTGAAGTACTCCAACTGCTCTGACTGCCAAGAACGTCGCTTGAACCAATCCACATTTTTCGGTTGAAAAATAATATTATCAATACTTTTTATTATCCATACTTGTTGTAATCAATTCAAACAGCTTTAGAAAAAATGATATAATAATAACCTTTTCCACTATTTGGCTTAAGTCTTCTAGACTCTCCCAAAAATCATCCAAATTTGTTCTTTCAACAATGTTGTTATATTTAGCTAGCACCACTTGGTCAGTCACAATTTGTCCAACACTAAAAATCCTTGATAGGTGCTTAGCTGGTGAGCCTTGTTGCTTTTTCACATGAAGTTTGAAAAGAGCCTTTTGACAAATGATTCCATCCATTTCCTGTGGTATAGTGTCCGGGTCCATCTTCCTCTACACATTTCAAAGATTCCCAAGAATTCTTTTATGAGCATGTTGCCAAAAATTTGAAATTAGGATAAGGTGTGTTCCTTTATGTTTACCTCAATCATAGCCTCCCTAAGCAAGAAAGCACTCACTCCTAGCAACTGTGTGCACTCTTTATCAAAAGGGACAAATGAAGCATGACCACTTCCACTTTCATCAACAACCCGAACAATGACCTTGTACCTATGTATTACGAATATATTTAACTCTCAATCAGCAGAATCTGAAAAGAAAAGAAAAATAAAAGAGATATAATTTATTTACTTGTACACTCCATGCGGAATGGTCTTATCACACTCATCACACTTAAACCTCACATCCCCCGGATAAACTTTCCTGTTACACTCGGTGCACCCAAGATAGGACCAAGAGCGCATTGGGTCAAGTGAATCTATCTCACCCTTAATCCAAAAATATCCTTCCTATTAATGAATAATAAGATATGTTATTTCAATGATATCCAAAAATATCCTTCCATTCAACTTTTATATAATAATTACAGTCGATACCTTCTCATCGAGCAATGTCTTGATACTTGTGATTGTAAGTGTTCCACTCTCGACATCATCAACTCCACTTAAAATAGTTGGGGTAAAAGTGATATCATCTCCTTGATCTGAAAGCCTGAAAGAATGTGTTAATTAGAAGATGTTTATATGTGTAATAAAAAGTATTAATAATGTAATTTCTTACTTTGACTTGAACTTAATGACTTCATTTGAGACACCATCATAAACAATCTTGGTCACGTCATATGCGGTACACAGACTAACCACTCCTGCATATAATGTGAGAAGTTGTGTCAATTTTAGCTAATGAATTCAATGTAAGGAAAAAAGTTGTTAGGTACCGACCATTGAACCTCTTCACCCTACAGAAACTTATAAGCACCACGGAAGGATAAGGGACGTCAAGATTGACGTAATCGTTGAATTGATCAACATACTTTCCCCACAATGTGCAAGTCAAACGATCTCCCATGCAAATTTGTAAGATTAATGATTATACTAAAAAAAGATATGCTCAATCGTAGAAATATTAATGTACTAGAGATCCTCCAAAGTCATCTCCATGAGCTTTTCTTCTCTTTGTCGAACACTGTATGTTCGAACACTTGAACGTCCAACAATCTTTCCAATCACATCTATCAAAATTATGTAGTTAGCTTTCATTTCTTTATAATGAAGTATATGCAAATTTTAGACAGATTCCAATACCTGTTAATAAATCATCTTTCAAGACGGGTTGCTCACGAACACTATCAAAGGAACGTAGGTCACACATGAAATCGAGAAAGCCTTTGGTACTCATTGTTTTGACATCAGTTTTGCTAAAGAAAGCCAACATAAATCGATGCGGAGTTGTCTTGAAGGCTTGATAGTTGCCATGAATCAATAGATTTTTGATAGCGTAAACTCCTCCCTCCACGATTTGTGCCCGATAACGGGAGTTATATGGTTTCTTAAGCTGACAATGAATCCTCGTACCCTAGTTTTTTCAGATCCAATACAATGACTATTAATTAATTTTTTCGAGCAAATGAGATTTAGTGTATATATCTTTTTTGTTTTTATACGAAAAATTCTTCCAACGGAGTAAATGAATTTTTAATGAGATTTAAAATAAATACTTTTTTTAATGCATATTTTAAATTTTCGGGCAAATGAGATTTACCAATGCACTAATCAATTTTTAATGTCATTGATGTACGCAAGTACTAACATAATATCTGATTTAAGAATTATACTTTGTTGTATACTAAGCCCTTTTCGGTTTTATACGAAATATTCTTCCAACGGAGCAAATGAATTTTTAATGAGATTTAAAATAAATAATTTTTTAATGCAAATTTTAAATTTTCGGGCAAATGAGATTTACCAACGCAGTAATCAATTTTTAGTGTCATTGATGTATGCAAATATTAACATAATAACTCATTTAAGAATTATACTTTGTTGTATACTATACCACCAAAGATAAAATAAGAATTATTTCTTAATGAAAAAGTAATGGAATTGAAGTAACATACTTGATCGTCATGGAAAATCACCTCCATTGATTCGTTAATTCTACCAAATAAACTTATTTCGTACAGGCGGATTGCTCTCACATGAATGGCCATCGAGCTTCGATCTCTATCAATATCGGCAAGCTTGGTCCACAACCCGGATGAAACTGCGATGGAAGACATTTTTTTTATTATCTAGAATCGTCTTTGTTATGGTTATTAAAAGGGGAGATAGTCTTGCTTTTATATTCAAGGATGTTCTATTAAAATAGAAAAATAGATTACACACTCTCCAATGTATCACAATTAATTTTACGTAGCTCAATAAAGTGTTTTTTCTCTTTCCCATTTTAATACACACTAATCAATATACAAACTAATCAAGTTTGGGCAATTATTATCACATTCCCCCATAAAGCTCCACTTCCACTTGCAAGCCCACTTGATAGAATGCAGGCCCAACTCGACGACACTGTTCATTTGGGCGGGAAAAGTGTCACTGTTCATTTTCACCACATTTGCTTTGTATATTAAAAGATAAGGAGTACATAAAAAAGAATTTCAAAATCTTGTAGTCTAATAGTATTGCTATGACTCTCCAAATTAAAAGACATACTCCCTCCGTGCTTAAATAGATTATAATTTTTTTTCTCTCTCCTCTCAATAACTTTTGCTTGTTTACGCGATTTCATTAAGTATTTGATAAAATAAAATATTCTTGTCACCTCTTGTTTTAGAATTTTTGACGCAGTTTTTTAATATGTAATTTTTATATCTTATTGATATACCAATTTGTAAATAAAATGATTTCAAAAAGTAGGAAATTTTACTCCGTAACCCGCAATTTGTAATCAAATTGGGGACGGAGGGAGTATGTTCAATCTTCGGTACAAATAATAACTCTACGAGCTTCAATTAGTTTATAATGTACAGATAGATAATACGGAGTATGATTTTTTACTCTTAAAAAAAGTAAATATGCGATCTTTAAGTTTGTGACTAGCATTTTTTTATTTAAAAATCACATTACAAAGTCTATAAAACGATTGGTGAAGTAACTATATTACTTTGTCCACTAATTCATTAAAAAAGGTAAAAATAAATACTCTTCATTCTGCTAAAAGATTGACACAGTTTAATTTTTTGGTCAAACTGGGGTACCCTTTGACCGTGACTTAAATATAGTTTGATTTTTGTACCTCATATTTGTATCTCATATTGTACTTCAAGGGCAAACCCTTGGATACAATATGAGATAGAAATGTGAAGTAAGAGTAAAATTTTCTTACTAAATATCATGTGTCTTTGAATTTCAACCTTGTATTGTCTAACAAAGTAATTGCTCCACCAATCCTCCAAGTTGGCCAACAATATTTAGTTCATCATGTTTTAAAAGGGTAGTACTCCCCATATGTTATTCTAAAGGCTCTTGAGTTATACCCTTATACTCCGTATGAAGCAACTCGTTTATTAAAAAAACACGGAGCATTTGGTTTTGTAATGAATTAAGCTCACTAAGAAGAAGAATCATTTCTTTTTCTATTCTATCAAGACAAATGATGATGCGATATTAGTATATTACAAAGGTTGTGAGTCGTTATTTTTTTTTAAAGATTGATCTTCTAACAAGAACGTAGAATTATATTTTCAAAACATGATTTCAAAGCAATGAATTTCAGTATTTACCTTAAATCATTTGGCCTTTCATTGCTGTGCATAAAACAAGCCTTAAAAAACCGTTAGGAATAATTAATAAAGAAATTTACTGTTTATTAACTACTAGACTCGTACCCGTGCGATGCACGGGCGGTAAAATAACTTATATTTAGTCTTGGTTTGCAATAAAATAAAATGAAAAAAAGGATTACAAATTTTATTTTTATTGCCCAAAAAAGGTATTGTACATCAAGGATTGTAGTCAGAATGCAGTGTTATAAGTTTTGGAACACTTCTTTATAAACTACATAATTATAAACTAATTTCTCTTTACAATAAATTAAGGAAATATTGAATTTTCTATATTTACGATTTCGAATTGGATATAATACAAATGAAAATCGGATAAACGGTTATTTAAACAGATGCATATTCGGATCAGAGTTTAAATGGATCGAATATTTTATATTAAAAAAGATGTAGAATTAAAATATAAAAATTACATATCTAAAATTATATCAAAAGATAAACAAAAGTAATGTGGACAAGACTATATTGAATGAAATTTCAAAAACAAATAAAAAAGAAAGTGTTTGAAATTTGACTGTGAGAATAGTACACATGCAATTTAATTTTAGTTTGGAGCTAAATTATGTTCATATAATTCATCCATAGAATTTAACTTTTAAAATATATTTTTTATCTAATTAATATACAAAATATATTTTCATTTAATCATAAGTAAAATGTTGAAAATAGTTTATCGAAAATTAAAACGGGACAAAAACTCATGAAGGGGCACAGTAATAGTCCTCAGGCATTAGCCCACTTATTCTCCTAGCCCAACTTAATATACCAGCCCAACTTACTTTCCCGGCCCAATATCCATTAATATAAAACTTATCTTCCTAACCCTACCCTTCACTTCTGCTCTTCCGCAGTTCCGCCGCTAGGATCCCCTTTCTCCTCCTTCATCTTCGTCTTCTCTCTTTGTCGCCATCTCTCCATCCGTAACTATGTTTCTCCCTCTCTCTCGCATATTTTATTTTCTGATTATTAAACTATTTGATTTCCATGTGCACCGATTCTTTTCGTTGATTCTATTGTTTATTTTAAATTGTTTTTTGGATGATCTTTGGGTCCTTTTTGATTTAATGTTTTTTCGTTTAAGATGTGTTACAACGCATCTCTAAATCATCCGATTTATATATATAATTTTTGGAAATATATATATACATATAAGTCTCTAAGTTCTATTTCAAATTTTTCATTAAGATGTTTTAAAATGCATATTTAGATCATCAGATATATATATATATATATATATATATATATATATATATATATATATATATATATATATATATATATAGACACACACACATATATACATACATACATACATACACATACATACATACATACATACATACATACATACACACATATATATATATATATATATATATGCGATGATAAAAAATTCATATGCGTATACCATGTGTGTTATCATCTTCTAATTCAAACATTTTCTTAATTTAATATGCGTACACCATATGTGTTATAGACACACACACACACATACATATACTTATTTTATATATTATATTATATATATAATTATTACTCCGTATTAACTATATCATATAAAGGTCTAAATATAGGGCTGTGATGATATGCAAGGACTGAAATCCGTTATGGTGAATTTTTAAGATTTTAATGTTTGAGGCATCAAAGAAAATGAACGTATCTTGGCGTGGCGGAACGGAATTAACCTCCGTTGTTGCAGCCATGGCGATTTCGTTTCTTATATTGCCTCAAACTTAAACCCGGATTAAAAAATGTGAGTCTATATTGTAATTATTATACACACACACACACACACACATACACACGTGGTGTACGTACTATATAGAAGGAAACACCATTGTCTTAAACTTGCCATTGATGTGGAGGGCTAGATACTCAATGAGAAATAGAAATATTGAATGAGAAATAGAAAAGTGAGAACGTGAGGAGTTGTGGTGTTGTTGAATCAGAGAATGACATATTATTTATACTATAAGGATTTGTGAGATTGGTATGAGATATATTGGATGGATTTGACACAAAGTTACTTTTTCATTTACTTTATTGAGCCACTCAAATTTTTTTCCCAATGCAACTTTATGGAACCACTAAAAGTAACTTTTTATCAAATATACTTTATTGAGCCACTAAATTTTCTTCCCCAATGCAGCTTTATGGAAGAAATAAATTGATTAGACAAAAAGTAATCATTTTCGTACTTGAAGAAAATCATTCCAACTCTTCCCAAGAAATCTACTCACATTACCCAAGAAATCTGCCAAATAAAAATGATCAATTTTTGGCCCACGGACAGCAGCCTATTACCACGGATCCGGCCCAACACTTTTGGCAGGAACACTGTAGAAAAATGTCTTACACCATTGTATAGATAAAGATATATAACTCAATTAATGTTTAAAATCTTCCTATGGCAGTCACCTAATTACAAATAATGTTTTCTTATAAAAAGTTTCTCATATACGGAGTACTATTTACCGAAAGAAAAAATATCAGTTGGCACAAGATAAGGAGTATATTGAAACAGGTGAGACAAACATTAACCACTACTACTACTCCCTCATTCATTGCTTATGTGCTTAACAACATATGAAAACATAAGAGAACAATATATGAATGGCCTCATAATCAATAGTCACATGTGCCAAACACAGGTTAGAGGAAACTAGGAAAGTAGACGATCATTACGAATAAGATCACCAAGCCATCTTTGCCGTGTCTTGGAAACTCAATCTCTGCTTAAGGAAATGCGCCTCAAGAACCTCTCTTTCAGATTGAAGAGTGGCCCTGGCTTCTTTAAGCTCCATCATCTTCCTTTCCAGAGAAGCTATTTCTTCATCCAAATGCTTTTCCTTCTTTGTAGTTTCGTAATACCTCTTTGCTTCCCCGCTCTCTTGATACTCGACAGCAAGTCGTAGAAGTTCCTCAACTCTGTCAAGCAGAAAACCAACATCCATTCCCAAGAGCCTAAACCCTTCTAATTTTGTTGCCCATTCTTTGATGTCGCTCTGGGAGGTGGAGAGGCAGCAAGCTCTTATGGCATCAGCAATGCTGATGATTTCAAGTATGACTCCTGTAGCCAGTTGGTGGTTGATTTTCTTGAGAAGCTCGCCGTGTAGATATGATTTCCTAGACAGACATAGCTCATAATACTTGATACGTGCTGAGACGGAGATCAATGGGTCAACAGGGCAACCGTTTACAACAATTTTGAAACTCTTCAAGTCCTCAAAGGGATCTAGGGATTTGCTTTCTTCCATGTTTTCTGCAGGGGAATCCTCACTATCACTCGCGAAATAGAACCCTTCACCCTCATAATCCTCCAGAAAGTTTTCACCAAGTCTCGGAGTCACTTCAGCCGGGCTTTTCCTCTTTTCGCACCCATCTTCACCGCTCTTTTCTGTCACTGGTTGTCCTCCTTCATGTGCACAGTGATCCAAATCACTGACTCTCACTATGTAAACCTGGATACAAGCTTTCACGTTATAAGTTGATAACTTAATAGAAAGTCAAGGCTCAGAGAATTGGGAATCTTATATCACAAACCCATGTGATGGTCAAAGAGTCATCTTACTTTTGATTGAGAACAGTCTGTTTGATCTCAATCTGGTGGATTAAACTCACCCAAGCGTCCAGAATATGAATATCATCTTTATTCAATTTGCACGTCTGGTGGAGTAACTCCACATGAAGATAACTCCAACGGATCCAAATCCAAGTTTGCTTGTTCAAATTTACATTTACCAAAGCTTAACAGGTTGTAAGGGAGCTGTTTGAGTACTACAAGTATTACGGTTTAGTGCCAGATAATGGCAAAAAAGGCAATAAGAATCACAGAAAAGGTAAGAGGTAGATAAATAAATTGAAGTAGATTTGGTTAAGGAAGCAAAACATCCTTAGAAGTGCTGTTTTCACTGCTAATATGTTTGCCCACAAGCACACAAGTTGATGTAAGCCAAATACTCCGTATATAAATAAGCATGCAAAAAAAATTCTCTTAAGTGAGCAGTGAACCTCGATCAAAGAGCGAGACATGCCGGGTTTTGAGCCGGGTCAAGACACAATATTCCAAGAATTTCCTAGGCCCAAGCATGTCCCGTCCCACATTGTGGGCTAATGATTAGAAGCCCATGCCCGGCCTGCACGGGTACCTTTGGGCTTTGGGCCCGACACGAATTGGTGCCTATAGGATTCGGGCCTGGACCACACTAAAAACACTTTAAATATTATTTATTTAATGAAATGCTGACGTAAATTATAAGATTTGTAAAATAATACGCCGTCCGACCCAAAAAACTTTACCCACTTTCTTTTCTAGGTGTATCACTCACCTGATTTCCTTTTTTAGTAATAAATAATGAATGTGGCTCATAAAATTTCTCACATCTAAACAACTTCTAGTTATATATTTTTCACTTTTCAACACTTCTCTTAAATTTTGTGAAAGTCAAATTGGATAGAGTTTTTTGGGATGGAAGATGAATACAATGATGAGGAACGGCCAATGTATGCAATGCATTTTGTTTGTGAAGCACAATTAGCAAAACATAAAAATATTTTCATTTGATTAAGTATACTTGTATTTAAAAAAACTATACTTGTAGTTTTCTTTTTTTTCCTCCTTAGAAGTGTATTGGAATAATAATATTAACAATAATAGTAATAATAATAGTAATAATAAGACTATAACAAGCCCAATAGAATCCCACGAAATGTAGGGTTTGGGGAGGGTGTGTGTACGCAGACCTTACCCATCCCGTTAGTAATTAACGGGATGAATTTGGCCGCGAGCTTCAACATAATGCTCTAGCCCGGCACTCATGTTTGCGGCCCCCAACTTTTTTGCGAGTGGGGTTGAGCTGTACACTTAAAATCCAAGCCAAGGCTCACTTTTTGCAGTCCAGGCGGGTACCCGGCCCATGATCAGGTCAAGGTGACTAGGTAAAATAGATCATTACCTTGAATTCATATTGCTTCACCAATTGGAAAACAATTGCATCACCCTCTTGCAAGTTATGGGAAAGCGCAAACCCTCTCCATCCACCGCTAAGTCCTCCTTTACCTGCTAGAAAATTTGTTTTATACCGCATGCTATCTTCACCCTCCAATATGATTGTAGCATCATTGGGTAAGTGCATCCGATGGAAATCCATAGGAAGACTCTGCAAAAATATATCTAACTTTTCTTGAGTTTGATGATTCGAGGAGTTCCTCTGCATAAAAGTACTGCCCTTACCATCCAAAACCCATGTGTGACGTGGGAACGCAGAAGGAACTTTATAAAGCTTGGAAGTCTGGTGTCAAGACTGTCTCGAAGAGCAATTGCTTTCTCCTTTACACACAAACAAACAGCTGCAGATATGTTCATACTTCTAGCATGCATTGCCATGGATCTTTTTCTGTATTACATTTAAAAAAACAATAAATTAATAAGAAATTTTTTTTTCATACTCCATTTTTATGGTTCGTAGCAAATCCACTGGAGTATTGACTAACCTACTGGTGCTTCCATTGGCCAGAGGAGTTCCCTACATCAATAAAGTACAGTCATATTTACTAACCAGCACCAAATTAGAATAAAAAAATAGTTTCAGTTAAAGATAACTGTACTGAAAATCCATAGTATCAGAACATTTGAACCCTAATCTATTTCCAAGTTCATGTATTTTTTTCAATAATTAGTATGTTTACCGGTTTCATTTGATCCGGATAACACATTTTCATTCTTCTCTCTTTCTTAGTCTCATTAGACTCTCATTACATGCCACGAGCAAGGCCCGGGAGCCAAGTGGCGGATCCAGGATTTTAGCTAGATGGGGGCACCATTAGTCGGGGTCCGGGGACAACGCCCCTGGATTTTTTAATAGACAATATGAATTGACAAAAAAATACCAGAGTAATAAATTTTGTTTCGAACATTCCTGTTTTGACTTGGGAAGGATTTATTTTCGTAGTTTGACTTTCTAATTATATTTTTATTATCGAAGAAAAAAGAGAGACAAATCATTTAAATGACATGACTTATTATATCAATCCAAATTGAATTGAGTATATTGTAACGACTTAATTTAGATATATTAGTCATTTTTTACAAAAATGAAAGTGTTTTAGGGGAAAAAATGAAAGAGAAATTGTTTTAAGAAAAAGAGGAAGAATGTAATAAAATAAAATTTACTAAAAAAATTAAATAAAAACTTTAAAACCATCTTAATTAGATGGGGTCTTATTAATTTTTGTTGGGGGCACACATACATAATTTTTTTTAAAAAATAATTTTAACTTAAAAAATAAATTTAGTATGGGGCATTAGCCCCCAACTCTTATGAAATAGATCCGCCACTGCCGGGAGGGGTCTCACCATAAGGGGGTGTGGTGAAGGCACACCTTTACTTCTATCATTTGAAAGATACTTATTCCAGTACTCAACCCGTGACCTCAAGCAGCAACACCTTAGCTGGTGTGCCGACTGCCGAGGCTTACTTCTAAACTTACAAAAACAAATTATAGAAGTTGGGAGGGAGATCAAGCTAATTCCTTCCAAAAATAGTTATTATTATTATTATAATAGTTATAGACACCTTATGGTTCAATGACCAAATGACGTAGCTCACCACTGCACACTACAAAGCTTACTAACAGCAACCGTAAAGCTCACCAAACTATATGGCAAAGCTCACCTATTTTTTTCAACACTGTTTTTTTTTCAAAAAAAAATCAAAGAAGTGGACTTTGACCCATGTTGACCGGACTTTAATCGCTGACTGCCTCTCTTGACAACCGCCGCCAGTCACCCTGGCCGGTGGTTGACCGGTATTTCTATTTTATTTTTAATTTAATTTTTTAATTTTAAAAGTTTAAAAAATGGATGAGTTTGGTGTTCAAAGTGGTAAGCTTTGCTTTAACTCCAGGTGAGCTTTGTAGTGTGCAGTGGTGAGCTTTACGTCATCTGATAATCGAACCATAAGGTTTCATCTGAGTCGATCCACACCGTTTTTCCTAAATTTGCTAAATCCACACCCATTAATATAACTTTGACATTGGTGTGGATTTAGCAAACTTAATTGAAAGGAGTGGATATAACCATTATTGGGGTGGATTTAGCAACACATGTATGTATGTATGTATGTATGTATGTATGTATGTATGTACGTACGTACGTACGTATGTATGTATGTATGTATGCATGCAATGTCTATTTGAGATTTGCATTCCGAACAAAGCTGGTGGCAACATTTTTTGTATCAATATACTACCAGTTTCCCTTAAAAGGCATATTTCGATATGCCCTAGTGCCTTTAAACTGTGTGCTTCTTTTGATGGTGAAGTAGCAGTTAGTCAATGCAACTTTCGACATTGGTCATCAGGAAACAACCGCTCTATGTTTTAAACCTAGGGGTCAGGCTGGGCACATCCGACCCTCCTCTACCCCGCATTGGACGGGAACCTTTAAGGCACTGGGGTAATGTTGTTGTAGTATTTTGTATACCATCACTTTCTCAAGTCTCCGCGTAAATGCCATATCAGGCAGCTAAAATACAGAGTGTGAGAATGAAAAAACACGAAAAAGAAACATAATACAAGTAAAGACATGAGAAACACACTTCACTGGCCACGGAGGGAGAGGCAGTGGGGAGCTCTTCCTCATAATCATTCAGAAGGTTTTCACCGAGACTCGGAGTCATTTCAGCCAGACTTTTCCTCTTTTGATATTCATCTTCTTCATCACTCTTTTCTATGTCTGATTGTCCTTCGTGTACATGGTGATCCAAATCATTGAATCTCACTATATAAACCTGGATAGATGCTTTCACATTGTAAGCTGATGATAACTTGATAGAAATTCTGCACTCACAGAATTGGGAACCTTTTCACAAACCCCATCCGATGGTCAAAGGGATTCATTTTACTTTTGATTGGCATTAGTTCATTTGCTCTGTATCCGGCAGATTACTCCACATGGAGTTACTCCACCAAATTTTGGTTTGCAAATCAAAAAAATTGAGAATGAGCTGTTTGAGGAGCACTACAATTATGGTACTGGTTTTAGGTTTCCAAAATCCACTGCTCACCTCAATTCTCAAATTTAAGAAGTGGACAAACAATTTAGTACCTGACAATTACAAAAAAGGTAAATAAAGAATTTGAAATACTTTTGGTTAAGGAAGCTAAACATTCTTTGCAGTGAGTGCAGCTCTCACATGCACACAGTTTGATGGAAGGCATGCAAAACAAGATTTCTTGATATTTTAAATGAGTGGTCAAATAGATCATTACCTTGAATTCATATTGATGCACCAATTGGAAGACAACTGCATCGCCTTCTTGCAAGTTATGGGCCTGTGAAAACGCTTTCCATCCCCCGCGAAGTTGTTTTCTACCTACTACAAAAGTTATGTCATACTGCATGCCATCTTCACCCTCCAATATAACTGTAGCATCATTGGGGAGGTGCCTCTTACAAAAATCCCCCGGAAGACCCTGCAATAATAGAGCTAACTTTTCTTGAGTTTGATGATCAAAGGAGTTTCCCTCCTGCAAAAATTTACTTCCCTTACCACCCAAAACAATTTTGTGACGTGGGACCGGAGAAGGAACTTAATAAAGGAAGGAAATCCGGGGTCAAGACTGTCTCGAATGGCAATGGCTTTATCCTTTACACACGAACAGACCACTGCAGATCTGTCCATACGTCCATCTCGAATTGCCCTTGATCTTTTACTGTTTTACATTTAAGAAAAAAGAAATACCAAAAAATTACTAAGGCAGTTTCTTCCATGCTCTGCTTTTATGGTTTGTAGCAAATCCACTGGAGTATTGACTAACCTAATAGTGCTTCCATTGGCGAGAGGAGTTCCCTACATCAAAATAAATTAAAGCTATATTTACTCACCAGCATCAAATTAGAATAAAAAAATAGTTTCAGTAAAGGATAACTGCACTAAAATTTCGTAGTCTCTTCAGAACATTAGAAGCCTAATCAATGTTAAAGTTCTTGAATTTTTTTCTCAACAATTAGTATGTTTCCTAGTTTCATTTCATCAAGATAATACATTTTCATTCTTCTCTCTTTCTCTATTCTCACTAGACTCTCTTTACGTAGCAGGAGTGAGATCCGGGAAGGGTAACGAAGGCGTGACCTCAAGGTTACACCGCAACACCATAGCTGGCGTGCCGAGGCTCCCCTCTGAAACCATAGAAATTGGGAAGGTGATCAAGCTGATACCTTCCGATGTGAATAATTACTAGCTAAGAAACGAAGATATCCCCAATTTCCATCAAAACCTAGATTCTAAACAAATGCAGAAAGTGTGCGAATGAAAAAGGAAACGGAATAAAAGTAAAAATACTCCGTACATGAGAAGGGAAGCAATATACTGACCATAGAGGGAGAAGCAGTGGAGAGGGCTTTGTCCATGAAACGCTTGGACATGGGCTCTAGCTCTCTGCGGGGTCTTCTTCCTCTTCTTGCTTTGGTTCAGTGATCATTTCAATCGGAGCCACCGGCTCAAGGAAACAATCCGCCGTTATATTTCTGTACTCCATCCGTCCCCCAAACGGGCTCTGTAAAACTTTTTACGTTTTGTTCTTTAAATAAATGAAAATAAAAATCTTGGTTTAACCACTTTTAGTTATACAAAAATATTATTTCTATACTTTATTAGTTTATTAAATTATAATAACTATTTACGAAGTATGTAATATGAATATTTATATATAAAGTAAAAGTTACAATCAACAAAAAAATATATATATTGAATGTTTTGTACGTTGGATATTTTTTTATTTTGTTATCACTTGTTTGTAGATTTATAAAAAATAATGTAAAAAATTACTCTCTATATTGATAAGATAAATATATTTATATAAAAAATAAATATTAAAGTATAAACATATTTGTATAAATATTATATTTCAAATGTATGACAACTCTAGTCCTAGTACAGTTCTGATCTAGTCTTTCGAAAAAAACTACCAATCTAAGACTCATCTGATTTTTTTCTTCAAATCTGAATCTATCTTGATCTATCTTTTTGGTCTTAGTCCTTTCGTGCATCTCTAAGTATAGGCTATCCCAGCCAATGGTAAACAAAAACTTGCGAATTAAGGGGTTGGATTCCTATTTATAATCAAGTCCACCAGCCGACTTGGCTCAACCTCATAAAAACAATACTCCATAAGATTATCAACAATACCATAATAAACATAATAATATATTGTAATACTAATAATAGCAACAACAACAATATCAATAATAATAATAACAACAACAACAACAACAATATATATATATATATTACTGTTCCGTATTATATAAACACAAATATACCTCCAAGAGGGGAGTTTATTTACTAAAATGAACATAATTATATAATTGTTCATTACACATTACTAATAATTTTTGAATAAAAAATAGTAACAATATCACACACAACATGTTGCATGCATTAAACATTCTTTGGATTCATCTTAATTGTTATATTAAACATCTAATATATTAAGATACAACGTATTATTTTGTTAAAATAATATATATCTTAAATGTTTAAAAAATATTATAAATTCAAGCTTGGCCTAAAAAATCTTGTAATATAGCATCTCAATCCAGCTCAAATCTGGGCCCGCACTTCGATCAAGTCTAATTACAAACTATCGAGTAATAATTTACATATATGTAGAATGATAGTATACTCCAATAATTCTAGAATGTACACTTGAAAATTTTGAATATAAAGGTTTTAAAAAATCACTATGCCTAATATGCAGTACTACGTATAATACCATGTAAAACAGAAAGTATAAATGTAGAAATGAATTGGTTACATGAAATCAGTTTAATAATTTATGAGTAAAGAGTCATTTGTTATTGATTCAAGAATATGATGTTTTATTTTCATTTTCATAAACAAACTGAAGAATTGGTATTTTCAATAATCATAATGTCTAAATACATAGTATATATAGTAGAGCTTTCCTAGTTATATTAGGAAACCTACTATGTTAGGAATCCTTAATTAATAAGGACTATACAAGTATGGAAACTTCTATATACAAAAGATACTAAATATACTAAATATATACAGAATATATTTAACATTCTCCCAACGGCACTTGTGACGAACGCCGAACCCCTAGACACTCCCGGAATTCTGAAAAAATGATGGATGGAAGACCCTTCGTGAAAATATCAGCATACTGGAGAGACGAAGGGACGTGAAGGACACGGACCTGTCCGAGAGCCACTCGATCTCTAACAAAATGTATGTCAACCTTGATGTGCTTCGTGCGCTGATGCTTAACAGGATTTGCAGAGAGATAGACAGCACTCACATTATTACAAAAAACAAGAGTCGAGCGGCTAAGTGGTTGCTGGAGTTCTAGCAGAAGGTTGCGTATCCAGCTGACTTCGGCTACGGCATTGGCAACAACCCGATATTCTGCCTCGGCACTGGATCTGGACGTGGTGAGTTGGCGCTTAGAGGACCAGGAAATGAGATTGTCACCAAGGAAAATGCAGTAGCCGGATGTGGACCTGCGGGTGTCGGGGCAGCCAGCCCAGTCGGCATCTGAGTAGGCCCGCATCTGGTTCGTGTGAGATGGAGAGATGGAGATGTCTTGTGATGGTGTGCCGTGGAGGTATCACAGGACCTGCTTCATGGCCGTGACATGAGGCGTGCGTGGAGCATGGAGAAAAAGACAGAGGTGCTGGACGGCATACGTGATGTCTGGACGAGTGAAAGTGAGATACTGTAGGGCCCCCACAATAGAGCGGTACACGGATGGGTCGGGCGCAGGTGATCCTCTTGAGGCAGATAGTTTCCCTCGTGTATCAACCGGGGTGGATACCGGTTTGCAGTTAAGCATACCCGCTCGATCAAGGATGTCATAGAGAAACTGAGTCTGTGTCAGGAACAAGCCACGGGAGGTGCGCTGAACATTGATCCCAAGGAAAAAGTGTAGGTCTCCCATATCTGTCATAGCAAACTCACCCTTCAACCGCTGTATGACCCGTTGTAGTAGCTCCTGCGAGGAAGCCGTGAGAATAATGTCATCAACATACAGAAGTAGGAAAGTCATCTGAGACCCCTGGCCATAAGTGAACAGGGAGGTGTCGCTCTTGCACCCGCGGAAACCAAGCGTGAGAAGAAAGCCAGTGAAACGCTGATACCAAGACCGCGGTGCTTGTTTCAGTCCATAGAGCGCCTTGTTCAGTTTGCACACATAGTGGGGTCGGACAGGGTCCTGAAATCCAGATGGCTGGGCCGTGTATACCGTCTCCGTGAGAGCGCCATGTAGGAAGGCATTCTTGACATCAAGCTGGTGAATTGGCCATCCTCGTGATACGGCCAAGCTGAGAATGATCCGAATAGTTTCCGGTTTAACCACCGGGCTGAATGTCTCATCATAATTTATGCCATGGCGCTGATTGAATCCTCGAATGACCCATCTGGCTTTGTACCTAGACAGTTCACCTGTAGGGCTAAGTTTGTATCTAAAAAGCCATTTACCGGAGATAACATTTTGGTTAGGGAGGGAGGTACTAAATCCCATGTATTATTAGCAATCAAAGCATTATATTCATCTAACATAGCATTGTACCAATTATGATCTTTGAGTGCACTACGGTAGGTGGGGGGGAATGGGAGAGATGCTAGCAACGGTGTTTAGGTTTAGGACGCGTTTGGGGCAAAAGATCCCGGCCTTAGCACGGGTGGTCATGGGATGGGTGGGCTGAGGGTGCTGGGTTGCTTCGGGTGGGTGGGCCG